TTGAGATGGTTCGTCGAATTGGATGACGCCATAAGGGCGCGTCGCATCGACGACGGGGATATGCAAGTTGCATTTGCCCAGTCAAATCTGGCAGGACGTGCCAAGACTTGGGCACTGGGGCTCAAGCTGCACGACCCATACGCGTTTGGGTCGTTGGAAGTCTTCAAGTCGCGGCTCAGACAAACGTTTGAACCGCCTAGAGCTGAGTTCAGAGCTCGAACCGAACTCTTGAAGCTCAAGCAGGGTAAGCGTGATGTGCACGCTTACGCTCAACATATACGACATCTCACGAGTTGTATAAGTTCCAATCCGGTGGATGAACACACGTTGGTTTCGGTGTTCATGCAGGGTCTTGCGGATGGTCCCGTCAAGACTCACCTGTTCCGGCTTGAACTAGATTCACTAGAACAAGCCATTTCCATTGCGGAGCAGGAAGACTTCAGTCTGAGACAGGCTCGCGCCAGCTCGACATCATATCGTCAACCGAGACGATATGACAACGGAGGTCCAGAGCCGATGGAACTCTGTTATGTAGAGAGCGAGAAGGCTCGCTCTACAGACTACAAGAAGTTGCAGAGATGCAACAGATGTCAAAAGACAGGACACTACGCAAACGAGTGTAGTGCCCCTCGTCCAGTGTCTCGCGACACTGGGCGTAGTGACCGTCCACCCATGAGAAAGGGGCAGGGACGAGGGTCCGCAGTTGGTGCAAAGACGCAGCAACGGGATGGACCGTCAAAAAACGGACAGGATCAGTAGGTGCGGAGCACCCTACTGATCCAGCAACGTCAAGAGAATTTGTAGGCCTCTTGATGAAGGTTGCTCCCAACACACAGACATTGTGCGTTGCTGCTCTAGGTAATGAGATCTCACTCATTACCTTGAAACTCGAAGTGACGAATAAGTTGTCCCTTCGAGCTCTAGTCGATTGTGGGGCGTCCAACAATTTTGTGCGACGCCAATCGCTAGAAGATGGTCACTTTAATTTTAGTGAATGTGACACACCTCCTACGAGGATGACGGTACGTCTTGCGACAGGCGCATCCGTAACCGTCATGAAGCGTATAGTGAAGATCCACTATACGCTAGAAGATACCCAATACGACGATGACTTTATCGTATTGGATTTGGATGACAAATTTGATGTCATCCTTGGAATACCGTGGCTCAGAAGGTACGAACCACGGGTAAACTGGCAACATCGGACAGTAACGATGCCTGCCGCTTGTTCATCAGATGGCCATCTGATGAACGTTTTGGAGCGTCCACAAGCGTGTGGATGTACTACGAGTGAGTGCGATGGCCTCACTTGTGGTACGGTCGTTAGTACGACTGCACAAAACCTTAGTGTACCAAACGGTTACACTTCGGAGCAAAGTTCCGGCGGCTGTGAGGAAACACAGGCTGCGCCGAAGGTCCACCACTCGAATAAGTCGGGTGGACTGGGACAAAGATGTATCCTTAGCGGGGAACATCTAGAAGAGAAACAATCGATCGCTCAGGTTAAGCGAAACGATAATCCTAGATCGACTGGAGAGTCTTTCGTGGAGGATCTCGCTGTGGTTGCGCAACCCCAGCTAGAGGAAGTAAAGGGAATAAGTCCCAAGATTACAAATACGGCGGAAATAAGTTCCCCGAAACCCGCGGGAATAAGTCCCCGGGAAGACGAAGGAATAAGTCCTTCGAAGCCTGAGGGAATAAGTCCCCAGGAAATGACAGAGACATTGAATGTCATAGTCAATAACGGATCATGTGTAGGCGCTTATACACTTGATCTGATTGCGCCTCCGAAGTTAACTTCGGAGATCACTCAGTTGCCAACGCTCGAACATAAAAGATTCTTGCGTGATCTGCGTAGTGGCAAAGTCAAGCAGATCTGCATACTCGTCGCTGAAGACGAGTATGTAACCGACATAAGGTCAGCAACAGTGTTTACTGAGAACGAGAGAGTTCTCAGTAGTTCATCTATGGACGAGAGTGTCCTAGATGAAAAGACACGAATTGAGCGATATGAGTCCCAATCATGGGAATCGCTCAAGGAAAATCCTCTCTATGAAGATTTGGTTGAATTCAAGGATGTATTCCCTGAAACTGTTCCGTGCGAATTACCGAAGGATAAAGGTATTCGACACGAAGTCGAGCTTAAACCAGGCTCGAAGTACTGTGTCATGAAGAAGTGGCCACTGCCTCGTGAACAAGTACTTGCGATCGACAAGTTCTTTGCCGATCGTTTAGCAGCGGGCCATGTGAGGGAATCAACTTCCCCACATAGCTCTCCGACCTTCTGTGTGCGAAAAGCAACAGGAGGGTGGCGGATAGTGCACGCGTTTAACAAATTGAACGCTGCAACGGTACCGGCTCAGACGCCGATACCGAGGAAGGACGTAATCATTGATGGTATGTCAAAGAGTACCATCTTTTCGTCCATGGATTTTATGGATGGCTTCTATCAAATCCTAATGCGGGAACGGGATATACCCTATACCGCAGTTAGCACGCCTAGCGGCATGCTCTGGGAATGGCTAGTAATGCCACAAGGGCTCAGTAATGCCCCTGCCACGTTCAACAGATGTGTATCACATCTGTTGAGGCCGGTACGAGAATTCGCGCCGAGTTATTTCGATGACGTATTCATCCATAGTCGAGCTATGGATGGAAAGTCGGACGTTGAGGTTCACAAGTACCACGTCCGACAAGTTCTTACAATCATGCGAAAGCATCAATTGTATGCAAACCTCAAGAAGTGTATATTTACAGCAAGCGAAATACCACTTCTTGGGTGCATCGCTTGGCATGAACGGTGTACGTCCTGATCCCGAAAAGATCAAGGCGATCACCCGACCGGCCCGTGCCGGTCGATGTCAAAGGTCTTCGAAAATTCCTTGGTAGCTGGGCGTATTATGCATTGCAAAGTATTCACGCAATTACGCCGAGATGACTGTACACCTCTCTCGTTTGTTGAAAAAGAACGAGAGGTGGTTATGGAACGCTGAATGTCAACGCTCCTTTGAGGGTATCAAGCAGAGCTTGATACAATCCCCCAGTCCTAGCAATAGCCGATCAGGACAGGCCATTTCATGTGGTCTGTGATGCCAGCGATTTCGCAATCGGCTGTGCATTAATGCAGTACGACCTTGAAGGCGTTGAACGCGTCGTCTGCTATCAGTCGCGTCAGCTGCAACCAGCTGAGCGGAACTATCCAGTGCATGACAAGGAACTCCTTGCCATGAAGTATGCACTCGCGAAGTTCAGAGTCTATCTATTAGGAGATAGGCCCTTCGGTTGTTTACACTGACCATGCGTCCTTACGCACGGCAGTGAACAGCCCGCACCTTTCACAACGAATGGCGCGGTGGTTGTCATTCTTTGCAGAATACAACTTTACGGTCGAGTACAAACCAGGACGACTTAATGTCGTCGCTGATGCACTCTCACGTCGTCCCGACTTTGAAACAGTCGCGAAACCCAACAGTGAGACAGTCACTGTTGCGGTTATGACGTCCTCAGTTCCATCTACAACGTTGTATGATGATGTGAGGCGGGCATACGCCCAAGATGGTGAGATAGTGAAGTTGTTGTCACATCTCTCCCAACCATCTCGAGAATCGTTGAAACGATTGTCGTCTGCGTATCGATCTGCATCAGATCGATACACTACTCGTAACGGTTTACTGTACTATACAGCCGTTTCTGGTGACACACCACGTGTTGTCATTCCAGATGATACTGATCTGCGTTTGCGGATCATGTTCGAGTATCACGATGCTCCTATAAGAGGACATCGTGGCCGAGAGAAAACATATCTCACGGTAAGTCGAGACTTTTACTGGCCCCGCCAGTATCAGTTTGTGCGAAAGTATGTTCGCGCATGCGAAGTCTGCCAACGAGTGAAGTCAAGTCCTTCACTGCGTGCACCTTTACAGCCTCTACCGGTTCCGGCTGAGTGCTGGGAATCCATCTCAATGGATTTCGTCTTTGGGTTACCCAAAGACGCACGCGGGAATACGGGTATTCTCGTATTTGTTGACAGATTCAGCAAAATGGTACACCTTGTGGCTGTACCAGAGACAATCACGGCAAGTGGCTGTGCTTGTGTCTTTATTGACACCATCTTCCGACTTCATGGGTTGCCCCGTGAACTCGTATCAGACAGAGATCCACGATTCACTGCTGATTTCTGGCGTTCCGTGTTCAAATCACTCGGAACGCGCTTGAAGATGTCAACATCTGATCATCCAGAGTCAGATGGTCAGACGGAACGTGCCAATCGTGTCCTTGAAGAGATACTTCGAGGATACGTACACTCCTTTAAGAGTTGGAGTGAGTTTTTGCCGATGGTAGAGTTTGCCATCAACAACTCGGTGCATGCGTCCACGACACATACACCGTTTTACGTGAATGGCTTGCGCCATCCGCGTGTTACCACCATATTAGAGTGTAACTCTGATTTAAGGGGGGGAGGGACTCGCGCGAGCAAAAAACGATTTGGTTCACGCTCATCACGCTCTGACGAAGAAGTCATTGCGTTTGATGCCGATATCGATAACATCGATATCGAAGAAGATGATGCCAGTGAGAGTGCGGAAGCCCTCACTGAAGACAATGATCCCAGTGAGAGTGCGGAAGCCCTCACTGAAGAAAAGGTTGTTGTCGCTGCAGTGCGCTCACAGCACACTGAAGCTAACGAGTCATCAGATGAGTTCATACTGGCTCGTGAAACGGTAGTCCGTTTTGTGCAAGACTCCATCGCCGAAGCGGTGGATAAGCAAAAGCAAAACGCTGACAAGAATGGAAGGGCAAACACTCTTTTATTTAATAAAGGTGACTTAGTCCTACTGTCTACGGTTAATCTACCAAAGCATGTAGTGACTAACTTGGGTAGCAGTAAACTACTACCCAAGTACATTGGCCCATTTCGTGTTTGCACCGCCTAGGCAATGCATACACGATCGAGTTACCACGTAAGATGCGAACGCATCCCACGTTTTACGTTGGTCGGCTTAAGCCGTACCATCAGTACGCTGCTTCTTCCGATGAAGAACGCCCTTGCGCTCAAGCATCTCGCAGAGAGCCTTGTGCTCCCGATGGTGGGCATCAACAAGGGTCTGAAGAGCAGCTATCTCATCCCGAGACCGATCAGCAATCCCACGAGCTACCCTTAGCTCGTCACGAAGAGATGTCAAAGATCTCTCGTTCTCAAGCTGAGCAAAGGCAAACTCAGCTCGATGCTTCGAGGCAGTGTCCACCATCTGGAGACGCCTATTCCGCTCATGCTCGAGATCGTCGCGTAACCCTTGCGTTACGCGATCAAAGAAGCTCGGGAACACACCGATCCACATGATCGTGTGGAGAGCGTCTTTCCTCCTCCTCCACCTCCATTAGAGGACTCTCGCGGTGGCCAGCGCTATCTAGTAGAGCAGCTGTTGAACCACCGCGACGTGAACGGACGTCGGACGAGTTACCTCGTCCGGTGGCGCGGCTATCCCCCGTCCTGGGATTCTTGGGAGCCCCGCTCCCAATTGATGGTTGACGTACTGGGTCTGGTCGAGCAGTACGACGCGACACATCCTGTGCCGCAGAAGGACCGCCGGAGAAAGTCTTCCCGGCACGGTCGTAAAGGGATTTCAGGTTGTCAATCCCTTCGTACATCTCAGTAGAGACACGTACGCGCCACCACGGGCTGGTAAGGAGGTAAGCCTCCTTAGGTGCTCGTGCAGAGTTGTTCACACAACATGGGCACGAGTCTCCCCAAGAGAGGCAGGGTAATCCTTTCTCCCTTGACAGACGATGCAGCTTATAGCGTGCACCTGTCGGGGTTCGCTTTTCAAACTTATCACGAGCTTTGATAAGTTTGTCGTTCCAAGCGTCACGACCTACATCCTCGAGATTATGGATGTAGGCGTTCCATGCTTGAAGTAGTGAGGGACCAAAACGTTTGTGATTCCCACTGTACCATCGATGTCTGAAGAAAGCATCGATGAAGAACTCATGTTCAGCGCGATAGTCTTTCGCGCTGGGGTCAAGGTGATGAATCCTCGACGAATCGAACAATCGTGTTCGATAACGATCACTCGTCGTCGCCGACAAGTGATCCATGACAGATTTAGGAGGCATCCATGCCTTCTTTTTAGGAGCGAGACGCAACACATTGCGGTCCCGCTCTTCCTGCGACGTGCCGACAGAAGTACTGGCACCTCGCTGTGAAGTGGTGTCCATTGGAGAAACGACACCACTATTAGCGCCCGAGTCTCGCGACCTCGAGCGCCTTCGCTTCGGCGATGGTTCATCTGACTCATCAGATGAACCAAAGATGCTGCGACGCAAAGCATCGTCCATGCCACGCTTGGCAGGCGGCTTGGATTCAATTGCCGTCGATACGGATCCGTCATCCGTATCAGGAGAGTACGAGACACCGAGCTCGTACTCTGTGAAGACACGAGTGTCTTCATGACCAGCGCCTGCATCACCAGGTGATACAGGCTGAGTCGATTCAGCAACCGATGGGACATCAGTTGCTGTAGTTTCTGCTTCGGCGTCCGCACAGAGACGTGCAGACGCGCTCTCGGCGGCCTTGTTCGCGCATCGCATGGGCTTGTTTACCATGCGATGAGATGTTGGAAAGTGGACGCGGACCAACAAGTTCAAACCCTGTCCCAAATGATTTGGGACGAGTATCCATTTAGTCAATCAGTCACTAAAGTGACTGATGGTTAAGGGGGGGTGATGTAACGGGGTGAATCGTTACATAACAATTTATAAGAAATTGTTAATAGAATATAACTATAAGAGTTATATTCTCAGAATATTGTCATAAGGACAATATTCTGTAGCACTTCCAAGTAGTTCCTAATTGGTTGATATAGGCCATTATATCAACCAACGAAGACGCGCCACGACAGACGCACGCAATGAGTGGTGAGCAGATAACTGATTTACACATTTGTATTTAGACATAGTTAGATGAAGATAAATAGTGATTTATTGCAGACATTAACTATTATAAATACAGTTCTACTTTTTACTTTAACCGAGTACTCGCTTCTTCTTACCGTCTTCCTCTGCACGTACGAGTGTACGTGAAGTTACGAGGCACCGCCTTATTCTGTTATCAGAATAAGTAGCTTGTACTGTCACCAGTACAAGCTTCAGGGTGCCCCGTTACAATCCGCAAGACCCTGCATGAACACCGAAACCAACGTGTGTTCATCCACCGGATTGGAACTTATACAACTCGTGAGATGTCGTATATGTTGGGCGTAAGCGTGCACATCACGCTTACCCTGTTTGAGCTTCAAGAGTTCGGTTCGAGCCCTGAACTCAGCTCTAGGCGGTTCAAACGTTTGTCTGAGCCGCGACTTGAAGACTTCCAACGACCCAAACGCATATGGGTCGTGCAACTTGAGCCCCAGTGCCCAAGTCTTGGCACGTCCTGCCAGATTTGACTGGGCAAATGCAACTTGCATATCCCCGTCGTCGATGCGACGCGCCCTTATGGCGTCATCCAATTCGACGAACCATCTCAAGAGGGAGTCTTCTTCGACCCCCTATACTTGGAGATGTCAATCTTCAAAGTCTCGGGTCGACGCGAGTGCATCGACCCGCCAGCAGCAGCCTGCTGCTGTCTCAACAGTTCAAACTGTTGAGCACCCTGTTCTCTCAACAACTCTGCTTGTTGAGAACCTTGTTGGTGAAGCAAGGCTACTTTCTTGCGTTCAGCGTCAAGTTCATTTTGAATGAACTTGGCGATAGTAGCATGTTGGGCATCTCTATTGAGAGCCTCTAGCATGACGCTAACAGCATGGATGCCCATGGTCGAACCCATTCGTTCAACCGCATCCCATTCGACATCGCTCAAATGGGAGTAGCCGTCACGCGTAGCGTGAAAGCTTGGTCATCTTCATCATCCAACATATTCATGTTGGATGTGAACGCGGTCCTTGGACGGACTACGAAGTGCTACCAGGTGTAACGGGGCACCCTGAAGCTTGTACTGATGACAGTACAAGCTACTTATTCTGATGACAGAATAAGGCGGTGCCTCGTGACTTCACGTACACTCGTACGTGCAGAGGAAGACGGTAAGAAGAAGCGAGTACTTGGTTAAAGTAAAAAGTAGAACTGTATTTAGTATAGTTAATGTCTGCAATAAATCACTATTTATCTTCATCTAACTATGTCTAAATACAAATGTGTAAATCAGTTATCTGCTCACCACTCATTGCGTGCGTCTGTCGTGGCGCGTCTTCGTTGGTTGATATAATGGCCTATATCAACCAATTAGGAACTACTCGTAAGTGCTACAGAATATTTGTCCTTATGACAATATTCTGAGAATATAACTCTTATAGTTATATTCTATTAACAATTTCTTATAAATTGTTATGTAACGATTCACCCCGTTACAAGTAGTCTCTGCTGCTCGGTACATGACGGTCTCCATCAGGACGTCACCTTCTGGTAAAAAAAATTACGCTTCGTGGAGGAGAACACGGTACAACCCGAAACCCTCTGACTCGCGCTTCCCGGATAACTTTCTCGCCTGTCCCAACAGACGAACCTTGCCGTGCAGAGCATAACAAGTTTCTAACTCAAGCTTAGGCAACCAATTTTTGTAGGCTGCCATTAATCGGATACTCTAGGTCGGTAATCGTACCTCAATACACCTCACCTACCAAAAATAAATCATCAGAAGAATCTGCCACAACCATCGTGTATGATTCTTGCCTCCGAGTCGACTGAAACATGTACGTGCCATAGAAAGCAGTCAATATCTGGGTACGTTTTTATCACTGCTAGCGCAAATCCTATTGTATACTGGTAGGCGACACAGGCGCAGCAGTTTCACCATCTTTGCCAAGCCCTTTTGTCGATGAACTGGATAACCTTGGGTATATTGTACAAATGGACACACGTGCTTGGGGAGGGAATGACATGACACTGCCACCTCATCGATCACATTGATCCTTCTTCTTGTCTTGAGGTGACACTTTGTTCATCAAACACATTCGAATGTCACCTATAAAGTATTGGGTGCTGCGCACGTAAACTGACAATGCTTGAAATGCCATACAATAAGGTTGTGTGCATTCTTACACAAAAGTGATTAAACTGTTCTTTAGATCGTAAACACTGCTGACCAAAGTCGATTTGCTTAAGCTTATATTTACTCTTGCATGATCCGATTGTAATGCTTCAGATGAGTCTACTATTCTGACTTCTCGGAAAGGACTCTTTTCCAGACTGAGTGCACGTCATCTCGGTAAGTTCTATGCCCCAAAGTGAGCATACATATGCTCACGCGGCGCTGAGAAAAGTCTGCTACGCTATACGCGACGCGTTGCCGACGACATACTTTGGGTTATACAGTACCTCCAAGAAGGTACTGGATGACATAAACTGGGTGCATCCGAATCACAGTATCCACCATATTACACTTTCACTGCGACCATCAATCTGGAGCATCTGTGAAAGTAGTTTTGTCATCATGCATTACTTTGCTTTCCACGGCCGTACTGACGTTTACTTGGAAGCTCCTTGGCAACTTTCCTGATACCTTATGATTATAACGTAATTGCCGAACTTTGCACTACATCGGTCCGACAAGCATGTGCCCAACATTTGCGGATAGCTGCAAATAAAATCGCAAGGCTGTGTTAGCGAGTCCGGTGTCTTATTACCACGAGGCTGCTCTTATGGCTTTAAGATGATGCATGTGATTACAGGTAACTTACTAAGCAAAAGAAATAGTCAGCAATGCGCTCCTTAACTTTGCTGGACAAAACGATAAGCTGATTCGCAAGCGGTATTGATGGGCGAGAAGGCTGTCTTTGTCCGTCCATACCACCGCCGAAAAAGAGTATGTCAAGGTGCGTAAAGTAGTCAAACAACGCAATGTTCAAAATGTAGTTGTCGTTTGGTGTTCAAGCGCTGATGTCTAAACTACACCAACAGAATGGTACCAAAAAATCTTGCACACATACATCCCCGAAGCAACCGTGGGTAGCCGGTGTCGTACTATCTACAACGCCACTGACTCCTCAATGGGACTCGTCTCAACTGACTCCTGGATGGGACTCGTCTCAACTGACTCCTGGATAGGACTCATCTCAACTGACTTCTCGATGGGACTCGTCTCAACTGACTCCTGGATAGGACTCATCTCAACTGACTCCTGGATGGGACCCGTCTCAACTGACTCCTGGATAGGACTCGTCTGATCGGAACTATCGTTGTCGAAAGCACCAACACCAAAATTACCAGACGCAACTGCAAGTTTCGCCGCTGTGCGCACCTTAATCGCACGGAGATGCACCTTCAAGTTGCTGATCTTAGTCTCCACGGCGTCTCCTGAAATGCTGGAGAGCGTCCCGCTTTTTGTAAGCACGTTCGGCACGCAACTGCGGCCGAGTTTAGCCTTACAGTCGACACCGGCATTCGGCGCCAAAAAGCTTCCTTTCGTGCTATGTGCGATCGGTGTCTTGACAGAGTCAAAGTAGTTGCCTTCCGCTAGGACGATTGCACCCGTAGTTGTATCGAAGGCGTGGTCTGAGTTGTCTTCAAAGTAGTTGTTGGCGGCATGAAGGAAAACAGCATCTGTTTCGCTGCCTCCGACCTTCGGTGAGCGCCCTGAAATCTGATGCAGATAGTTTCCCAACAGACTCATCTCCGTGTGTTTACCCAGAAACAAGAAGCCCCAGTAGTGCCGCCCGTCACAAGACGTAGAGTATTTGGTGCGACCATCAAAGTCGGAGTTGCTGATCGTGACACCTGTCGCGCCGGAAAAGTTTATCACGATCATCTGACGTCCGATGTTTGACACCTTGATGTGGTCGAGCCAAATACCCTTCGGAACAACATCCGTTGAGGCTCCTCGGATAGTGATGGCATCACCGCCCCATATGACGTGCGGGTTCAAGTTCGTAATGTGGATATTCTGAACGATGACATTGCTGCCACTAATGATGAGACCCTTGCCGTTCAGCACACCTTTCATGCCATCGCCCACTAGCGTCTTGTTGCTACCAACAAGAAGTGGGGTGTTAGCTGCGTTGTCGTACGTGACGCTCACTTTTGAGCCATCACACTTGCTAAAGCTTGGCTGAATGGCGTCTTGCCCCCGGAAGCCGCTCTTCTTCGCAATACAGTTGAGGTTGTGCATCGGGCGGCAACCCTCCTCCGTCGTGGACCCCTCGGTCTTGACAAAGTTGAACGCTTGTTTGAGAACAATAACTCGCGGCTGCTCATCACTCAGGAAGGTTTTGAGATCCCTGATGCTGGTCGGATACACAGGTGCAGCATTGCCTCCTCCCGTTGTGCCGAAAGCAAATCCGCGCGGTGTACCAGTGACCACAGAAGCAGCATGGGTAAGACAGCTTTGCAGCGACGCGAGAGCAAACACCAGAGAGATGACGATGCGTGCTGGTCGAGTATGAGACAGCATATCCTCGGAGTGGTTATAGACACTTGAGGGCGAGAGGAAGTTTGCAAATGAGGTATTGGAGAGATTGCATCTGCGTCGTTAGCTCGCTGCTTCTTTCCTACATCCCAGTCATGGAATTTGTTGACAGTATAGTTGGCATGAACAGGGGGCGAATTAGCTTAAGAGTAAATTTATATCTGTATTATGCTATATATATAGAAGGTCAGAGGTGCGGAGATGAAAAAGCTTTCACTGACTAGATTTAGTGCCAACCTTAGAGACGGGTTGAACATCTCCAACTGGAAGATTACCAATACACAAATCTATTTCTGGAGCATTAAGTGTTGCTGACTCGTTTAGCTGAACCTGGTGTGACAACGCCTGCACCCGATATTCTACCGAAGCTAGTATTCCAGCTCAAGCGAGCTTCTACTTCCTGAATGCAACTATTATTAATCATGCAGCGATTCCAGTCAATGTACTGGCGAACACCATCGTACGACTTGACTCGGTGTTGGCTCGCGCTTATCCTGACCATCATCTTTGGCCTCGTTCTCGTCAACGCCGACTACACAACGTACAAAGGGCTAAACTCAGCCGTGGGCATTATAATCAAGAAATAACTATATCAAGGATACGTGACGTACGTTGCTTCTCTGCCCTTCACCCTACGGTAACGAGCCGTCTACTACCCATACCATTTGTCGTCATTTTTAACCAAAGGACGATAATAAATGAATGTGGTGTGGTCAGCCACACTATGCGAGTCATTTAAAGCTAGTGTAAAGGGATGCAAGCAGGGAACTAATTTCAGTCAAAGGAAGCTCTTAGAATCTCGTACCTCTGACCTTTTATATATAGGATCAATTTTACCTATTTCGCTAATAAGCTGTTTAGAAAATCGTTTGACGGCGTTTGCAGTGCGGAATAGCAACATTCAAAGTACGGAAAAGCCTCGCCCCGATAAGTAGTGCGCCTATCCCATGAGTAATACCAGTCGTGTAAATTACTCATGTGCGACTATCTGATGAGCAATGTGTACGGAGTAAATTACTTATGCGCGACTATGCAACGGGTAATGCGCGTAGTGTCGATTATTTGTTGTATAGTCGAAGAATTTTTGGGTTTGGAGTAGCAAGAACAAGTCGCGAACTAAGGGTCCAGATACATTCACTTTGCATTTTACACTTACCTCGACAAGCACCTTATTAACAGAAAAGACCTTTGACAACAGATTGAGATAACATCCGGCCAGTTGCGGCGGGAGAATTGAGGTTACGTGGGCGCCTGTTATTTACGTGTTTTGCGTTTGTCGGAAAAAGAAAGTGGCACTTCATCTTCGATCGATTGTATGCAACGGAGTAGCACAGCGGTTATTGAACCGGTTATTTCGTGTGTCCACACCAAGTGAAGATCGGTGGATCTGAGTGGTACAGCCTTGGTACCACATACTTACAGTAATACCGCACCTTGTCGGGAAAGGATAAGGGATAAGACTTCTGTCATAGGATCGCAATGTAGAAGTCAGTCAGACAAGGTTTAGGGTTATAATGCCGTAGTTAAAGAAAAAATCAAGTTTAGTTCCCTTTCGAATCGTTGGACGCTAGTGCCAAGTCAAGGCATAGTGTGCTGTAAGAGTGTTAGCCTAAATAAAGGCGTTTACTCCTGTTTAATTAGTACTGAATGGTAGTGTGTGATTCTATGAATCGTACTCCACTGAAACCCGAATGGTTCAGCTTTTAAGCATGAACGAATGTGCGTCGTCGTTGGTTTTATATTAATCAAGAGACTTTTTGAGTCCAAGACTTCCTCTGTTATGGAGCGCTATGTAGCTCCGCTACAAAAGTGTGGCCGTTGCGAAGCGAAATGCACCGGATTTCGCAAAACTTATCTCAGAGTCATTACATTATATACCGCGACCGTTTATCATCTTGTCGCAAACTAAAAAAAAACACATGCGTTCCGAATGCCTCTGTCATAATGACCAAGGTGGTAACCTCAACGTTTGCCCAGCACGTTGGAGATGCAAGACCGTAATCAAGTATTGGTAATGATGCCGACGAAAAAGATATCGTTGCGCTTTTTACTAACATCGTGAGCATCAGCATCTTCTCGCGACCATTTATCAAGTCCCCTGGTGCAAGGCATACCATTGAACTTCCAGATCCGTCAACTTCCCGACTGGGATCGCGACGTATTGGTCGTCGGTGGTGACCACTTGAACCTTTGAACTGTACGGATGGCGACGCCATGCAATTTGCATTCGGATTTCATTCAGCAACCAGAGGGTTCCGTCGGAAAGCCCTAGCCGTATGATAGCTGTAATCATAAACCCATACCGACAAAGCTCTTCTGCCCGCCTGATCTCCCACCTACGCATCGAACTAATATACTAGCGCCCTGCTAGCATGAATTTGATCTTGGTACGCCCATAGTCAAAAATAGATTACACCCAAACATACGAGCAAAGGTAACGTCGAGATGATAGTAATGTCAGCACCAGAATAAAACAGTAAAGTGGCCTTCTCATTGTTCATTTTGCCTACTGCCTTCGACTGTCTGAACACTTCACTGTAGCGTGGTGCTTCTAGTAGTCATGTGATTCACCGGCGCTATATCTTTTTCCATCGTCGATTACGATCACGAATATTCATCGATCCTCTGGGCACTGGACATCGCAGCTAGGGTGGGTAAATGTAGATGGCATATACTGGCTACAACAGCTCCCTCTTCCTGTACCTTGCCATCCATCTCCTTTTCAAGAATGCAAAGATACAAAAGCCTGGAACGCTAGGCTCGTACCAGATTCCAACTTGGTGGGCATCTTAGTTCGACGTCTTTTCAGTCTGGTCAGGGAGCTCTCCTGTGTGCGTATTCGGCACGATTCGTTGGCGAATCATGTCAATCGTGTCGTAGAACGAATCATCTTGTAGGGCGAATCATGTCGTATAGTCAACAACCTGTTCACGGCACAGTTGTGGATCAATTCGGAGATTTTATTTGGTAACTTGAATGAAACGAACCAGATGTATCAGAAAGCACCAAATTAATAGCCATTCTAGCTGCGGTTTTAATGCACATCGTTGCAGCTTCGTAAAAATTGTGTACAATGTCATAGGAGTTGGTGAAATATAGTCGAATTCGGGCCCATTTTACTGAATATCGGCTTAGTGCACGACTACTAATCGGACGCTTCTGCAAGCATTACTTCAATAAACATCCCGTCTGTAGTGCCGATCACTGTTGTACACTTCTTCTGCTTTCGTATATGCTTTGGAGGAAGAGTGAGAATCGCATTCTGGACTGTGGTGACCAGATTCGGGTGAAGAACAAGCTAGGATGTATTGCCAAAGTCACCTTTCACTCTCCCCAGCTTGATACTCACCGAGGCGCTTGTTTAGTTGACACAGAGAGAAAGGGTGTAGTCCAGTACCCCGAAAGCCTTCGATTGCTTTGCTCGAGTTCTCAATGATGGCGATACGGTATACATAACACGCAATATCGATGGTTGTCTGTTTGTACAGTGCTAGGTCCGCTGTTTCATTCATTTGAAGCTGTAGACCCTCGCGGCAGATTGTTTTGTAAAATGCTACTGCTGGCGTCTGGAAGATGTGCGTTGCGTTTGCTGGCGAGGCTATCATAAGGATGACATGTTCACAGCAGAAGTTCACGTACTTTGAAAAAAAATAGCGCGAGAATTGTGATTATGAGGAAAACAAAATGATAAAACGTTGGCAGAACTTGCTCTATTTTTTTTTCATTTCACATGCGTGGAAGAGTTATTCGAAGTCAAAATGACTGGGTTTTGAATCCCTTTGGCTTTCAGGACGGTAGCAAATGTTCCCAACTAGTCCTTTAGAAATATGGAACTGTAGAACCCCTTCAGCGCACCAGAAACACGCGCGCCGTCAATGGATAGCGCTGTGAGCTCTGTCTTGAGCAGGCAAACGTCGGGGGAGGATGAAAAGACAAGGGGCAGCAAACAAGACGTACTACCAGCCGCCACCACAGGTATGCGGAAGTTGGGCTTGGTCCCCTGCATTCACACGTTTCTAGAGCCTCGATTGCAATGACGTTGCGAGTCGTGGACATAGGGCCGAACGAATTCCCGTCCATGATAACAACATAAAACAAGTCCTCATATTCTCAATTCAAAGCTTGGCCATCGCATTTAAAACCCCGACAGCCTACAACTTTTTCACCGCTATTCGCACTCTCCATATACCCTGAGAAGCGCGTAGCATAATCACCGGGTGGCAACCAAGGAAGCGTAAGTACTATCTAGACGTGAGTTGTGTCCACTGGATGTCTCTCGTGCACTTATGCAGTGCGTCGCAGATCAAGGTGGCACGCTTCCTTGTATCTGAGCGGGCAACAGGTATGCTCACATGCTGCATGGCGGAAATTTGTTCAGCCAGGTGGCTCTCCAAATCTGCTGAGATTGTAGGCTTCGTGCTTCGATGCAGCCCTACAATCGACCTCCCTTTGCAGGAAATTTACCTACTTCAAAGTACAGACGACGTCCGCGCGTCTCGGTGTACTATTCATCGTGGTTTACACTCTCCTGAGCATCCACGACGTCTTACTTCGATAAGAGAAAGAGGCGCACCATCAACGTTTTTATTGTTTTATCTAAATTACACAAAATGCTTCCTCAACTAACATTCTCTCTGTAAAATTATGAAATCACATGCACACAGTTAATCGTTCATTGAAATGGTTCAAAGCTCATCAATGAAAATCAAATTGCTTAAGATTGAATTCAATGGACTTAATTTGTCAGTAATCAGTTTCGTTCACTAAAGCGTAACTGTGCGCAAAAACGGTCGGTTACCCTAAGACTCTTTCATCGAACCCTTTCCCGTCTCATGCGCTTCCACGCACGCGTGGCACACGAAAAGACAGCTACATGATGAAGGTCTTTTACGCCTGAAATTCTGGCACGCAACCGTTCCCAGCACCCTAAATTGTTTCGTTTGATCAAGCTGCAATGAGCATATGGTTTTAACGAAGTACCTCGT